TGCATGTAAAGTGTTTGGTGAAATTTCAAAAAGAAATTCATGCATGAATTTATCAAATATTGTTAAAGATATTGTTTGAGAAAGGAAAGAATTGATGTTAAAAGGTTGTATTAGACTTGACCGAGTATAAGTTTAAGTGTTTAAGAGTGCATTTTGTTATGTCAAAATTTAGAATAACACTTGGTTATGTTAGTTCAATGAAAGCTTGAACTTTTAGCATTAGTTTGAATGACATATTGTATTTAGTCATTTAATTATAAGTTTTGAAACTTATGACTTTAGAAAAGTGGTGGCAAGAATTGCATATTAAATTGTTGCAATAGTGTAGTATTGATGATAGTAAAAGATTGGTGATTATTTTATAATATTACAATATGCCACATTAAATTGTCAAGCTTGTATGCTTGAAATTAGAAAGATCATTCAAAGAATGGCTTAGCCAAATGAGGATATTGTTGTTTCTTGTTTTGAGATTAGTTATAAACAATATGTAATAAGTGATTTTATTGTATAAATAATAGAAAATTTTTTCCAAGTATAGATATAAAAAAATAATCAAAGAAATAGAAGTATGGTTTATGTATTAAATACATGACCATTTTAGAAATTGATTGGTTTGAGTATAGTTTTCATGCCTCATTATATATTACAAACTATAGAATTGCACTAGAAGATCTTGAGAATATGTTGTATTGGCCAAAAGTTTAGTTAAAAATGTTAGAAAGAAATTAAAATTTAGCCAAAATATATATGTTGTGCTATATGTTAGATTGTATTTACAATCAAGTTTTTGAAAACCGGACCAAACCAGGCCATCTGGTCTGACCGATTCGACCGAGAGCCGGTGGTATTTCCAGTCCAGCATCTCATAAAAACCGCCATTTCCAGTTAAACCGGATTAAGCCGCGGTTGGACCGCCAGAATACTACTAAGTCGCAGTCCAATCGCCACTTAATCTTGCTGGATTCTAGCATCGTTCGACAAAGAAAACACCACCATTTGACGTGACGGCATCTCCACGAAAAAACCTAGCCATTTTCAGTCGCCGTCATCCAGCCTTTGTCCTTCGCCGTCCACCTAAAGTTCACGCGACTGTCGGGCTTCTTTTGTTGATTCTGGCGAGTTGTGGCGCTGATGGAACTCCCTAGCACCACCATCAGATTTTCCGAAACCTATACATCAAAAGCCCCATGATTCCAACTTCAATTGGCCGTTGATCGTCGCTGCTGCCACCACTCACCAATTTTTTTCACGCGATAGGGGTGTTTTAGACATATTTCAAACCTTAAGAGAGTATTATAGGGGTGTTTTTGATGAATTTCAAACCTTTAGGGACAAAAAATAATTTTACAGAATACGGTCCAACCGACCAATCCAACCGGTCAAACCGGAAATCGGACCCTTGAATGGGTCATAGTCCGGTCTGATTTTTGGAATATTGTTTACAATTATTAATATGACAATATAGATTAATGTATATAACGTAGCCAAAAGAAAAGAAGAAAAAAGGTCATGTATAACAATGTTGATAGTCATGTTAAGAGAATGCAAATTTATGGCATTAAAATTTGTAATTAGAAAGCTGTACGAGGCATTTTTGTAACATTAGAAAATATTATAGTAGTTTAATTACATGGTTATGTGATATATATATATATATAGTAGCATAATTGGGCAAGTTAGTAGACTTAATACCTAAGTTGTGACATAGATTTTTATAGAAGAAATTAGATTGCCCAAAATGTAGAATTCATTCCCTAGTTGAATTGTGCCGTTTTAATATCTTACTAATATAATTATAGAAGAGTAGAATTTATGAGAGATAATGTAATTGTGTACGTGTACATTTTACATAGCATGATAGAATTGAAGAATTACATAATTATGTAGAAATTATAGAATCGCGTACGTACACACGATGCGTAGAATTCAGAAATAAAGAATAAAATAAAAAATATTTAAGTTAAGCATGTCACTAGAATAGAACTTTGGGCTTTCTAGAAAAATATAGAAATAAAAGCCTTGGAATTAATAGAATACAAGCCAGAGTCAGACACGTATTTTGGGATCATGCATAGACAACATATAAATCCATGACATAGCATAGCATGTATTTCAAAAATTTTAAAATTATTGAAAAATTTCTAACTAGTTATTTTTCAGATTTACAGAGCATGTTTTCAAAAGGTTGTTGCGATAGGGAACCTGTGAGCATTCGCTGCGTTAGTTAGTGGCGACAGAGATGCAGAAGTTTCCCACATGCACGCCGCCATCAGTGAGCAGCCTCAGAATAGAAAATAGAATTGTACAGTCCGCTAGAAGTGCATGTGGATGAGGATTGTACCTAAAAAGAATTTCAGAATACGCTCACACGACCAAGGTTCCAAATCCATGCCTCAGCCTCGTCCGATCGGCAAACCAGGACAGAATACAGAAAGAGAAAAAGAAAGAAAAATAGAATAAGAAATAGAAAACAGAAAGAATTTCAAAAAGAAAGGAAAAGAATTTCAAAAAGAATTATAAAAGAATTTTAAGAAAGAATACAAACATGATCATTTGCATATGCATCAGACATTTTATGTGCATTGCCTTTTATGCATTTATGCATAGATTAAAGAATTTATTTTATTACAGCGTGTCTGACTAGCCAAGAAAAGAAAATAGAAGCCCATAAAATAGAGAAGAAAATAAAATAAAAGCCCATGAAAATAGAGAGAAAAAGAAAATGGAAGCCTACAAGAATAGAAAAGAAATTAGAGATATACAAGAAAGGAACAAAAATTAATATATGTTAGAAAATAATAGAAATTAAAAACATGACAAATAGGAAGGAAACTTAACAATTTGTTGAGTAGAGAAAGAAACAGAAAGATATAATCTAGTAGAGAAAAGAAATAAAATAATAAAGAATAGCACAGCATTAGAAAGATTTGAGAAAAATATAAGACTGCTAAGTAGTACGCCTGAGAATAAAGAGAGAAAGTAAACATAAATTTAGAAACAGTACAGCGAAAATGGGGACAGCGGAGTAAGAGCATAGTTAGATTTAATTTACTTACTGAGCATTTATAGCTCACCTCGTTGCTTTCTTTATTTTTGCAGGTATTAGATTGTAGCGGTCGAGAAACGTCAAGCTGGCGAGAGGGTTGCACACACTGTCTCAGTGAAGGAATTAATGTAGATTTATGTATGTATTTTTTGTAATAATAATATTTAGAGAACATCTTCACGCTTCCGGGTCATTAGCAAATTATTCTTATTATTTTTATATATGTGAGAAATAGTCATTGTGTGATAGTATTTTATAACTAGATTGAGGATAAAAAATTTAGACAAACACCCTTTCTAAGCTAGCAATTCTCTGGATTCTCTATATAAAATACTCAGTAAATACTTGTCAAGTGAGAGATTGCATATTGTTTGACGTTCTTTTTCTTTTCCACAACAGCAGCAATAGAACTTCTCTTCTTGTTGTTGTTAGACTTATCGAGTTTCATCTGTGCATGCTGACTCTCATTCTCAGCTACCATTGTTGAAGTTTCAACAAAATTCAGATCCGGGTTTTTGCGTAGAATTTCTCTACGCATCATTTTTTTCTTTGTTACTTATTTTTTTGACTCTTTTTTTTTACTTTGTCGTTGACTTTGACCCCTTTGTGACCTTTTTTTCCGTTTTTTTACTTTTTTTTTTTTAATATAACTTAGAGAATAAAAGAATAAATAAAACTAAAAAAAATTAAAAGAGCAATACTAGTTTTTATAAAGACACGTACAAAAAAGGTATAAAAGACAACCCATTTCATGATTTCTCGAACTGTTTTCGTTTTTTGTTCGTGCTGATATCAGTAATCTTCTCTTTGTATGGTCTAGGATAACATTTTTCATAGTTAAAACAAAGTAAACAAACGCAACAAACTCTCTTTGGACCAAGAAAAAGGAGACGATTCACGACGGCACAAAAGCGCCAAATCAAAGTCGCCGGCGACAGATAGGAGTTGGTGACAGCAGATCGACGACATTAGCAGCGGTTGAATATGGTGGCGACAGCCGGTTATGTAGGCACGGCGTTAGTAGCAGGCAAAGTTAATGGCGAAAGCCAAAGGCGTAGGCGTCAGACCTGCAGCGTTTCGGCTTTGGGCTTCTGTCGGCGATGTTTGGAATTTGGCGGCGGCGGTGGCTTCGGGTATGGATTTCTGATTGGGTATGGATTTCCAATTGGGTTTGATGAAAGTTGGGTATGGATTAGATGGTATGATTTCCGATGGTATGGGTTTGATGGTATGGTTTGCTTGCTTTGATTGGGTGTCTTGGTGATGTGAGTTGCTCGGACAGATTGGTGCTATTAATGCTGGGTTTGATGGCTATTATTTGGTTTATGGTAGTTGATTGGGAGAGTGTTGAAGTTGCAATGGTTGGAGAGTTGAAGATGGCTAGAATTGTCTTCTGCCGCTAGGGACTTTAAGATGAAATGCATATGGCAGTGGTGGTTTGGTTTGATTGGTTGAGGTTGGTGTTTTGGTTGATTGGGGTAGGTCGTTTTCTCCTTCTTGGATTGACGACAGGATGAATGGTTACTCGCCAAAAGTTCACCAGCGGTTGCTCTACAATGAGCAATTTTTTAGATGGAGAGTGGCTCTGTACCATATTTGAACGAAGAATTGTCGGTTTTAATTTATTTATTTTCAAGTCCTTGTATAGAAAGAATATAATTCATTAGATCTCTTAGTTATGTTAATTTTAAATTACATAATATACTAACATAATAAAGGTATTACATAATATCACTGAGTATCTTAAGCCCGACAAAAATAAGAGATTAAAGAATATTTTAGAAATCTCAACATAATATCCAAAATTAAGAGCATGGTCAACCCATGATAATTGACTACAATGATTAGTCTTGGACAGTCCACTAAAATAGAGAGGTCAACTCATCGAGGTCATGACCGGTTTAGTGTTTTTTACAGAGTTATATATTTACTTATTATCCTATACAAAAAAAAAAAAAAAAATCCCCTGTGAGTCAAACAAAATACTAAAACCATTTAATACAGTACAAGGTTTTAGTGTTGTCTAATGCTATAAAACAAACATGACAACAATCACATATTTTCTTTGACCTCATCAGTAACAAAGCCAAAAAATGCAGCAACTACAGGTGCCAATGCCCATGGAGAGGGTAACCAGTTGTTACGCGGTTTGTGAGCCTCCTGCCATAAGTAAAACAGCCATATATACTAACACGTCAACATAAATTTTGTAAACTCATAGCATAAAATTTGTAGCATAAACTTATACAATGATGTATGCTAACAAAATTTTCTGACAAGTAGTGTATAATAATTTACCTGTGCTGACATTGCTTGATTGACCACATACTTGGTCTCTTCCTTGAATTGATTCCACAAATACATACATTCTATGGGTGATTTCAACATATCGCTTGGAGAAACCTAACACATGTTCCATTATAAATGAGAAATACGATTCAAGAAAATGATAATACAATAAGACCAAACACAATACTACCTGCTCCCATGTGTTTGAGGCTAGAGTGTCAACAGTTCCACCCATGAGTGAGGAAAAAAGTAAGTTTCTAACCATATCTGGCTTCTCATCCAAGCGTATAACAGCCATGTCTGACAGTGCCCTTAGTGACTAAAAGAAAGCAATGACAAAAAAATAGTTAGGTGTTATCAGTGTAAAGCTAATTTAACTCCCTCCCTCACATTAAAATCCTTGAAAATTACCGCAGACTGGGCATTCTTCAAAATAGTTTTAATGTCCACTTCTCTAGTCCAAACCCTTGGCATTGAATCATTGTCATGATTGAATACTATTAAGAATCTGAAATAAAATTTCAAGGTATTATGCAACAAGGATGAGAATTAAGATTAGACAATCTACAATAGCACAATCAAGCTCTTTACCTATCCTTCATGTGGATCAAAACTTTGCCAACTTCTTCTCTTGCTTTTTTCTCCACCACAATTCTTGCATAGCTCCTTAAATTTTGAACCATTGCATCACTACTAGCTTTGTCCAACTCAAAACCAGCAATTGCATTCGAAAGCCCAAATGCAGCAGCTTTAGTCTCACGTTCAAGAAGCCTTCTTACTGAAGCCCAAGTATCCTCACAACCAACTTCAAATAGATATTTCATAGGTTCAGTAAGTGCTGCAGACAATTTTTCCTGAACATCAATATGGTATCAGTACTCAATCATTCAATTAAACATTAATGTAAGGTTTTAAAAGATAAAAATAAAAATCATTGACTATGATTACAATAATAAATTGTGCATTAACCAAGAAAATAACCTCATAGTTAGTTTTGATTTCAGACAGCTTTGCACGACAAACCATTGATGCATGTTCATGAATGTCATGGTGAAGTTCTTTCCGAACTTTTGAAGCATCCCAATTAGTCTGTATTATAGCAACATCTAAGGAAGGGGAAGAACAAGTCGTTGAATTGCAAGTAAACAAATTAATAGGTCCAATCATGAAGGAAAACTAGTTTACAGTTGTGGTCTAGCTCACAGTTGAAGGGAAATGCCAGTAATCAAGAAGACGCAAATAAAAAACAATAAATGAAGAGAAGCATTCGGCTTAGATCACAGAAACAGTTGAGAAGTTACAGATCACTTTCTGTAAAAACTAGTAGTCCAATAGAGGGAACAAAATACAAAGATTGACTATCACTTTAACAAAAGTGTCAGTAGCCAATCAAATTTGTACAAATAAAAGAACATGCAGAGAACTCATAAGGACGCAAATTATATAAAGTTTTCTTACCAGCACATCCTTGGTCAAACTCCAGCAGACAAGATTGAAGACAAGTGCGAACAGCAGCAGCAAAACCTTCCCCTTCGTTTAGTAATTGTTCCAAGCTGATCTTAAAACTATCAAACACTTTAGAGTATAGATGATCCAACATGCAATTATACGCGGGGTGGAAAATCTGGAAAATTCAAGAGACATTGTGAATAAATGAACAAAGCATAAAAATAATAAAACCTACAGGAACAAGATGAAGATGAACCCTCTATTTAAAAAAAATAAAAATAAAAAAATAAAAATAAAACCCAAATGTAACCCCCATCTGTTGTCAAAAATAACAGGAAGCTCTCCTGATTTGCCCACTCGGTAGGCAGTATTCATAAACAAATAATACAACGTCTACAAACTCTCCATATGAACTAACATATACAAACTAATGTAGCATGATTTGATTAGAGAAGTGAAAAATAATGACAATTAAACAAAATGAAAAAAAAATGATATGGCAACTGAAACTGTGCAGTAGGATAAGCCACTAAATACAAAATTTTGATGATATCAGTGCATTTAAAATAAGTCATTTGTCTTGTAAATGAATAGCATAGAGAATTGTTGTTCTTTGGTGTACTTAACTTGTGTTTTAGGGCATACGTTATGACCACCCCAAATTCAGTACAACTTTAGCATTTTAATGATTCATGGAAAATACTCAAAATAGTTAAGCTGTCCACCATTAAACACAATTTGGAAATCGTAACTGATAGCATAAAAAGTAAAAAGTGCATCTATTTGTGTTAAGATACTTTTAAGGTGCCCTCACATGAAACCATAAAGTTTTGCCTGTAAGTTCAACATACATCATGACAATTTCATAAAAGTTCTTTTCTCAATAGCAAGAATGAATAACATACTTAATAAGTAGGTTGAACCTTACATAAATTGCTTGTGACTCCAAATCTTGTCGTTTTCGAATTCTTACAACTTCATCAAAGTAGATCGTTTCCTTGTCATAACTATGAAAAATAGAATTTAGCATAAGAAACCAAATCAGATTCAGAGCTTCCAAACAGATTTGGATCAAAGAAAATACTCCAAGACTGTCAGTGCACAATATCCGGTAAAACATCACAGATAGGGGTAGAGGTAGTCATTCTAAATTCTATAACTTCAGGGAGTTTAGATATAAAATTTACACCCTTTACTTTCAGTTAAACATCAATTATCATTGACTTCCAAGCAATCCACAGAAGTTTAAGGATAAAATATACACAGAAAATTTTCTTTACGTATGCCATGGTCTTGGCTGCTGGTAGTCTTACAAGGATAGCCTCATGAAATATCTTAAATACAAATTGCAGATGTATTTTGAGAGATTTACATCACTATTAAAACAAGTCAAATCATATTATTAGATTTGATAATATATCAGACACAGATGTTAACTTACTCTGAAAGATAGGTGTCCAGAACAGAGCTAAGCTTTTTACCAAATCCTGGAACAGGACCCACTTGAATAGCTTCCTTCAGAGCCAACCAATCCTGCAACAAATCATTTAAGTACTGGCTAACAGATAATTTTTCGATCAGACAAGTAATTCCCGCAAGGGAGATGTATGTAAAAGAACCTCATCAACTGACAACAGACGGAGCTTCTCATTGGCAATTTCCTCACACCGAAAAGTGGCAACCATTACCTGATTAACGTTAACAAATATTTCTTAATTAAAAAAATTGTGTGTGTATATATATATATATATATATATATATATATATGTCAATGAAATTGAAAAACCAACAAAAGATATGCACAAGGAAAATTAAAAACCTTAAGAGCAGGAAGATCCAGGTCCTTGTTTTCTTTTATAAGATTCCATATCTGCTGTACACTAAAGGAAAATCCTGAGGCAGGAACAACTCCTTGTGTATCACCGGCTAGTCCTCCTGGAGAGATGGAATGGAAAAACCGCTGCCTCAGTTCAGCAACCTGTATAACATGTCCAGACTGTAAGACTCTAGATATCAACTGTAAGCTATTTATTTCACAAAATCTGTAATGCTTAATTAGGCCAATATGCCACAATGCCAAGGATTTCGAACAGTGATTATTTAGGTAAACATATGAAGACTGAAAGAATGCTACAACACACTTCAAATTCAGTTGAACCAGTAACGGTCGTAACCCATATTAGTTAAGGCTTGATAAACTTCCTAATCTTATTAATGGCTACCTGCTCTTTAAACTCCTCCTCCTTATCTTCATAGCTAGATAAAGCAGTGACCTCCACCTACATGTCGAGTAATAAATTAAAAGGTAAAATATAACACAATTCCAGAAAATGAATCAGTCATAGAGATACAGAGAAAATTGAGAACATTTAGAGAAAATTAGAGAACATTTACTTACATTAAAAAACTCACTGAGAGGAGCACCTTCATGGTCCCGGGGTTTAGTAACTGCTTCCCAAATCTGTAGAAATCACCAACTATCAAAATGCTGAGGAAAAAAAAAAGAATGAACAAATCGAATGTGAGCAAACATAAATAAATATACCTTCTTGATATCTTCTCTTAAATTAGACTCTAATTTTTCAAGCGGGGTCTGCAAGGAGAGTCATGAATAGTTATTGATTCAAAAGAGAAGAGAAAGGCCCTTCCACAAAAGGAATGAAGAGTAAAGGAAAAATATAAAGTGCAAGTGCACACCTTTGTTTTATCACGTATAACAAATAGAAGAGTTGTTTTACGTGGGCTAAATAAACGCATCATGACCTACACACAGCACAGAAAACCAGATCATTATGTGAAATAAGCAGACAATATTGTTATATACAATAAAAAGACAACAACACATTGACCCTGTACAACTGGCTAGAGTACCTGAAAAACTGTTTTAAGAAGAGGTCTATTGGAAGCCTGCTCCCGACCGATATCATGGCACCAACTACATATGACATTAAACACTTTATTAACACTTGAAGTGACATCTAAACGTTTGTGTTACCATGAGTTTTCTATGCCTCTAGTCCACACATTTAAGAAACTCTAGGATATAGATCTGAATGTTAAACAGTGTCCATTTCTGATCAAAGGCTTCCATTCCAAATCAAATTTTGTAAAGAAAAATAAACTTATGTACAGACAACAGCAACAGCAAAGATGAAAAAGAAGAATTCACCGATCTTTTTTTTTTTTGGCGGGGGGGGGGGGGGGGGGGGGGGGGGGGGGGGGGGGGGGGGTGGGGGGGGGGGGGGGGGGGGGGGGGGGGGGGGGGGGAGAGGAGAGGGAAAATATAAATTGCTAAAACTTATCCTGATACAATGGTTTTTAAACATCGAATCACAATTAAATAAAATGCTGCTTCCTGGAATTAGAATTAGTGCAATGATACCAATGCCTGTTCAGATACTACTTTAAAAAGAAAACAAGGGCTAAGCATTGGCAGGCCAAAGTAACAGCAAAGAGGGGAACCATGTAAGCCATATAGGTCGATGGACCAGAGAAATCCAGATTTTAAAAACCTTAGGCAACCTTAGAGAATGGCCAGGCCTAGACCAGCCTAGACTACTCACATGCATAACTGAAGCTACATATACCTAAGTAGATTATACAGATCATGCCAAGAATATATAATATTTTGCACATATCATATAAGATATATTGTTTACAACAAACTATATTATCTCTAATTTCTTTAAGCCCAAAGCCTAATTAGCCCAAGGCCATTCTCCTTTTTGTAGGAAAGCCTGTACTTGTCAACACAGTAATTCCCGAACCAAGTTTGAGTCTGCAATGCCAACATATTTGCAGCTCTATATACTAGATCAAAGAGACTTACATGTTTATCACTACAACATCTGCAATTGCCAAAGCAAAAAGGGCACTCTGCTTCTCGAATGCAGTGTCATCCTGAAAAAAAATAAAAAATTGCAGACACACTTTATGGGTGATGAAAATATATCAACACTAACTCATACAATTCCACCCAAATGAAAGTGCAAAATATGTCTACAGGCATCCCTAGAAATCCATAAAGCACTATAAATAACTTTAAGCCCCACAAAGATCAAATTGTGAATTTGGTCTGACTCTGACAGGGTTCTCCAGAATTCAAACTTAAATGATGAATGAAACATCACCTTTTGACGATAGCAAGGATTTCACTTTGGTTTGCCATTATAAATAGAAAAAAATATCATGATTCTCTTATAAATTGTTAACCCGCTTCAGTCCCTAACTTAGAGCAATGAAATATCACACAACTCAGTAACTAGCAATTGCTTAAAGTTTTCATAACAGCACCTTCCCCACAAAGCATCATGTATTATTTGGTTTCAGTGCTAATACAAATTAAACTAAAATTCAGGGGACACAGTTCTGATGTATCTGTGAGTCAATAGGAGTTTGAACACATATGAAAATTCCTGAACCTTCTATTGACACCCATGGCATATTATACTCATATGTACTGCCAAATATAACTGCAGAAAAATTAACTAAGATCTATATGCTACACAGGCCTTCTTCACAGGAAAACATAACCCCATTTCCGTTACAAATTGAAGATATCCACACAAAGCTTATTACCTCGCCTCTTTCACTGCCATCAGTTCCCTCTAAATCCATGGCAATAGTGAAAGGTTCAATGCCAGCACACTTATCTATCCAAATTCCCTTAGTTGTTTGACTCCTGCCCAAAATGATAAATAAATAAAATAAAATTTACGAATCTCTTACATTAAGCTGCAAAATAAACGAATTTAAGAAACTCAAACAACCAACCTTCCTTCAAATGCATCCATCTCTTTGAATTTTGTATCAAAAAGATGGTTCATTAAAGTACTCTTCCCTGTTCACCATTAAGAATAAAAAGAAAAAAAAAGATACTAAGCCAACAGAGCATTAAATCACAATGAAAACGTGAAAAACCTTACATTTAATTAAAATAAAAAATAAAAAACCGAAATTTTGCAACATCATATTTATTATTACAACAAAACCAAAGCGGAAACTTTTCAAATTAAACGTCATAAATCAGTGAAATCTGGAACAAATTTAAAAAGATCGAACTTCAGAAGCATATATACCACTACTTTGTGGGCCCACGATGGCGACGACGGCGTAGTCGCGGCCGCGATCGGGGAGGTTGGTGGCGCGGACGAAGTGGTGGAGACCGTCGACATTGAAGTAGCCGTTACCGGCAATGAGTTGGACAGAGCAAGGAGAGACTTCAGCCATAAGGAAGCGAAAAATTCTAGGGTTTGAGGGAATCAAATTGAAAAAGAAAGAAGTAGAAATTGAGAGTCTAATAGAAAAAATGAAGTGGACGAGTCACAGCTCACAAGTAGAAGACTAGAAGGTGAAGGAAGAAGGAGATAAAAGACAAACTGACTTGGCAAGTCAAGGAGACGACACGTGGGTTTCTCTTTACTTTTGGAAACTTTTTTCGTTATTGTACGTTGGTTTAAAGTGATTGATTTAATATCATATCCAAATGAATATTCTTTCATGTGATTTATGAATACTAGGGTTTATAACATAAATACCCCTAAAATATGATTAAAGTTTCAGTCCCACAATAATGTTATAATAATAACAAAATTGCTCCTATCACTAAGTTTTTTGTGCTAAAATAAACAGTAGAGGATCAGTATCATAAATATTTATTAACCCATCATATTATAAATTCTAAGAGTACACTAACAACTCACTAATAAAAGGAGGATTTATGTTATTTCTGAAATCTTAGGGGGGAATCATTACTTGATTAAACCTCAGGGGTTTTAGAACTCTACAATATTTTAAGAGTGTGATTATTCTTCATGGGCCGTTGTCTTTTTTACTCGAAAAGTAGCCGGCTTGTTTTGGCAAATTCAATGACATCCAAAGGGAGTCAACGCGGGTTTTAAGGCGTAAACCTTACGCTTAAATTAAACTAACTATTTACCTAACCAAGAGAGAAAACTACTTTTCTTTTCTGTTTGAAATAATTACTGGGTCAAATTGAAATTTGACATTTCCTTAATTACCTTAATGTAAGACTATTTATCCAATTTCTTCACTTTTATATACATTTAGTATTCCTTCTTAAAAACAATATATTTTATTTCTTAATTTTTTCATAAGAATATAATTAGTTAATTTATATGTTGTTTAAAGAAATTATGATCTCTAATTCTAATACTAATTTGGAGAATAATTTTAAAAAAAAATTCTAGTGACTCTAGTACTAGAGTAGCCAATTAAAAAAATATTAGATTATAATTTATAAAAAATAAAAGGATATATTAAATAGTTTTCTCTTGTTTATAATGAACATATAATATGAGCTATAATATAAAAACTAAAAGTAATAACATGACATATAATAAACTCAGTAATAATGTTCAACATGGATTCATATCATATAATATAAGACTCATAACATAACATAAAATAACATTTGTAATGATAATGTGTATGCTAACGTTCAATGGATTACTGAGTTCATGATCTATTTTATAATAAAATGAATGAACTTGAAAAGCATATATACCACTACTTTGTGAGCCCATGATGGTGATGATGGTGTAAGAAATGTCACTATCGGGGAGCTTGGTGGCGTAAAGGAAGTTGTCAAGACTGTCGACATTGAAGTTGCCATTACTAGTGATGAGTTGGATGGAGCAAGGAGAGCCTTCGGTCATAAGGAAGCGAAATTCTAGGGTTTGCGGGAATCAAAATTGAAAAAGAAATAACTAGGAATTGAGAATCTAATGAAAGAAAATGAAGTGGAAGGTGATGGGAGAAGGGAGGCAGCCGTCTCACTTTGACATTTAGTGCAGATAAATTGACTTGGCAAGTTTAATAAACGACACGTGGACTTCTATTTATTTAATAGAAACTCTTTTGTCCTAATGTGATTATGTAATCATATTAATTACGGATGAAAAAGACAGATGGGAAAGATAGACTTTGAAATTAAAGCATATATAATAATTCTTTTTATGTTTTGAAATAATAAAAATTCTCCCTCTTTGTAAATTGTTGAAATTTCTTCTGTAATGAGTTAATCAAAATTATTAAATTATTTTTTATCATTTATTTTAGGGTTATTATCAATCAGGGGATATTTTCATTAAAAATATATAATTATAAGATACAAATATTAAAAAATATTGAGAGGGTACTGTTAGGGCAAAAAATCGTCATTGGCCCAAATAGGAAATCATAACCACCTGTGAAGAAGAGATCAGGCCCAAATCTCAAAGAGGCCCAAGCTAGATTAGTTCTATTCGATACGAGATACGACCTGCCCAAACCATCTGGATACGGGCCTCCCAGTTCCAGTTCACTTTCTAGGCCTATAGGCAAGTTCCGAGCCCACGGCCCACTGATCACATTCTTGTTCCTGATCAATCTCCTATTCGAAGTCATTTTCCTGTTCAGATCACCTTCCTATTCGGACACTAGTAAGACAGCTGACCACGGCCCTAATTCTTCTAAGGTTTGCATCAAAGTCACACTAGGACTCCTACTCCCACCAGGATTGGAAGACCAGACAGTTGTTATATAAATAGAGGTCAGCCCTCTCACAAAGGACACACTACATTACACCTTCACATCCGAAGCTCCTACTTGAAAGTTTTACATCACTACCGTAGTCACAGTCTCCGACTAGACTTCCGGTAACCTCTCTACTCCCTAGCCCTCACTATATTAGCCTCTTTCGGCCTTGCTGACTTGAGCGTCGGAGTGCCTACGGCAAACACCACCCCGGTGTTTCCCGTTCGCTTCACGCGTTTGTTTCTCTACGTGTGCAAGTGCAGCGAATCGCTAGTGGCTTCAACCTCACGGGATCAAACCCCCCTTCCGTACAGGTAGATTTTTACGTCTACAGTTTGGCGCCCACCGTGGGGCCTCTAGCAATCATTCGGCTTGACGAACCTTGCTACGTAGAGGAACTTTCCGTGGCTGACAACTACAACAATGCTAATCCCAACCTCGAGGCCAAACTGGAGGCTTTGACTGCTCTCATGCAACAGAACTCGGACAAGGTAGCCGCACTGGAAGCCGAGAACAATGCAATCCAGATCGAAAACGCATCCATCAGGTCAGAAAACCAGTCTCTTAAGGAGAAGGTTAGTCAATTCTATGATTTAGAGTTCATGCCTGGCTAAGCACCACCAAATCGGTTCCGCGCCCCCGTTCCATCCATGCAACCTCTCCATACGCTAGAGCACCGACCCTTGGTCTCCGGCAAAAGACCGCATCCGTTAAACTCATCTGCGGTCGACGATTCTGTCCTGATTCATAGAGATAAAGATATGTCTGTAGAACATTATTCAGCCGATTTATCCCAACGTCAAGATCAAGATGATCCAATGGCGTAAAGCCCTCATCCACAAGACCAACCCAATCTAACCATCCCACCTTACCTCCAGTCGACCATCCCAACACATACTCCCCTCGGCTCGGCTCATCCTCACGGGATGAACGGCCAAAGTAAACAAACCACAACACCCGAGCCCATCCATCCTGACCAACCGAATGACTATCAGAGGACTCCCCTGACCATTCATGTAGGGCGAAACACCAGAACAGTTACCATGGGAGTCATAGAACCAGAAGGAATGAACGAAGATCTACGCTACCAGGGAACGCACGAATGAACAACTCGTCATACTACCCCATGACGGATGACCAAACGGAATGTACCAAAGACAATTGCAAAGGTTGGCCCGATCATGCGGGATGACCTAGTGGCGTCCCCTTCTCCTATGGAATAGGTACTAGCCAAGAGATTGGCTGATGTGGAAGCATTGATGCGACGCATTCCAGGAATGCCGGTCCCAACCAAGAAGAGTAGGCCCCATTGTTTTGCGGATTCACCCTTCGTGGATGAGATCGCCCTAGCCGACATGCCTTAGAAGTTTACCATCCCCAACATGAAACTATACGATAGCACAACCGATCCGGACGATCACATAGCCTCGTACAAGCAGCGGATGTTCACCGTCTCAATACCCCGACCGCTTAGGGAAGCCTGCATGTGCAAAAGTTTCGGTTCGAGCTTATCCGGCCCAGCACTCCAATGGTACACGAATCTTCCGAACGGATCCATTGACTCATTCGCTCAACTCACCACACATTTGTGGAACAGTTCACCAGCAGCAAGAAACTCGAGAAGTTGTCGGCCAACCTATACAGAGTATACCAAAGAAGGGGCAAGCCACTAAGAGAGTATGTCAGCAGGTTTAACAAAGAGAAGATCTCCATCCCTGCATGCAACCTTGAGACAGCCGTAGATGCCTTTAGGAAAGGTCTCCTCCCGGACGGAGAGCTATACAAAGAACTTACAAAGCTAGGTTGCACCACAATGGAAGACGCCCTGACCCAGGCAGTGATCCAAATAAGATAGGAGGAGGATGAGATAAACCAAACGATTCACTCCAGATATGATTCAAGGCGGAATGATAGGAAGCCAGAGCACAGGCCAGCGGAGCACCGCTACCAACCCCCAGCACGTAATTCGAGCATAGTCAGAAAACCGTATGATTGCCAGCCGACAAGAACCGAGAGCAGACAGTTCAGATCGAACCGATACAAAATACCGAAATACAGCCTCAATGTCGAGCCAACCCAGGTCGTATTATAAAGGGAATGGGATCCACTGTTAAGTGGCCAGGTAAGCTCAATCCCGAGGCAAGGAGAAACAAGACCAAATGGTGCGAGTTCCAAGGCGATCATGGGCACAACACCGCAGACTGTATCGCCTTACAACTAGAGGTCGCTGCACTTCTAAAGAGGGGACACCTCCGGGATTTGCTAACCGATAAGGGGAAGAACACCATTAGCCATAAAAGTTCAAAAGAACCATTACCACCTCTGCGGGAACCTACACCAAAAGGCTTCTGTTCGCTCATCTCCAGAGGATCAGAGATCAGTGGGGTAAGTTACTCATCAACCAAACAATATGCCAGAGCCAACCACCACCACCATGAAGTTCAGTTCAGTCCATCCATCCGGTCTCACTGTCAAACACTCATTAGGTAATTCAATTTGAAGATGACGAGCCGGTCACCTTGGCCGCTCCTCATCACGATGCCCTAGTCATCTCCCTGCAGGTCGCCAACGTCCTAGTGAAAAAAGTATTTGTAGATGGAGGCTCTTCAGCAAACATCCTATTCCTCGAAGCAGTGAAGGCTATGGGACTGGAAGAGGTAAACATCAACAGGCGGTCGACGCTGCTAGTTGGTTTCAGCTCTGAGCAGAAGTATACTATCGGGGAGATCATCCTCCCTATCTACGTCGGTGGAGTGAACAAACAGATCATTGTTTTGGTAATCGACTGCCCCTCGCCATACAACATCATCTTGGGTCGACCTTGGATCCACGACATGCGGGCAGTCCCATTTACCTTCCCCCAGACGATCAGATTTCCAACCAACTTGGGGGTACGAGAGATCAAGGGTGGCCCCAAAACTTCCAGGGATTGCTACAAGAATGCCTTCAAAGGCAAGGGTAACTCTTCGTAGCAATTATAGATTCATCCAACCCCACCGACCGAGCTGGATCAACCATCTATGGAAGAGTTGGATGAAGTACAGATACATCCGAATGACCCCGAGAGAAAGACACACATAGGGTCCCGCCTCAAGCCAGAGACAAGAGAGAAGCTGATAGAATTCCTCAAAGAGAACCAAGACTGTTTCGCCTGGTCCCACGCTGACATGACCGGAGTCAGTCTGGAAGCAATGGTGCACCAGTTCAAGGTAGACCCATATCACCCACCAGTGAAACAAAAGAGAAGGAAATTCACACCAGAGCGTAATCGAATTGTTAACGAAGAGGTCAAGAAGCTCCTGAGCAATGGCATGATCAAAGAGGTCCACTACTCCAAATGGCTGGCGAATGTCGTGGTCGTAAAGAAAAAGAATGGGAAATGGAAAGTGTGCATCGACTTCACAGACTTGAACAAAGCCTGCCCCAAGGATTCCTTCCCGCTCCCACATATCGACATGATGGTCGATACGACCGCAGGTCACGAGCTCCTTAGTTTCATGGACGCTTTCTTAGGGTACAACCAGATCTTGATGCACCCAGACGACCAAGAAAAGACAGCCTTCATCACAGAAAGGGGAACCTATTACTATAAGTTGATGTCATTCGGCCTGAAAAACGTCGGGGCCACCTACCAGCGACTGGTCAACAAGATGTTTGCCGAGTAACTTGGAGACACCATGGAGGTATACATTGACGACATGCTCGTCAAGTCACTGATGGCCGAACAGCACCTCGACCACCTCAAGCAGGCATTCGCCATCATCAGGAAGTACAACATGAAGCTAAATCCAGCCAAGTGCTCATTCGAGGTCTCGTTAGGTAAGTTCTTGGGCTACACGGTGACTCAGCGAGGGATAGAAGCCAACCCAGACTAAATCAGAGCAATCCTTAGTATACTGTCTCCAACTTGCTTCAAAGACATCCAGTGCCTTACAGGACGGGTAGCTGCCTTGAGCCGCTTCATTTCCAGGTCAATCGACAAGTGCCACCTCTTCTTCTATGCTCTCAAGAAGTCCAAAAAGTTCAAGTGGACCGCCTCCTACGAAGAAGCCTTGCAACAGCTAAAGAGGTACCTGACCTCCCCTCCGCTCCTTTCCAAACCTGTGGATGGGGAGAAGCTCTACTCTTACCTAGCGATTTCAGAGACAGCCATCTCAATAGTACTAGTTCGGGAAGAAGAAACGAAGCAGTTGTCGGTCTATTATGTAAGCAAGTCACTCCTTGAAGCGGAAACACGGTACAGTCAGCTGAAAAAATTAGCCCTCGCCCTCATCCATGCATCCAGGAAGCTCAAGCTATACTTTCAGTGCCACTCAATAGTTGTACTCACCTCCTTCCCACTCAAGAAGATACTATACAAACCAGAGCTATCAGGCCGACTCCTGTAGTGGACAGTAGAGCTCAGTGAGTTCAACATATCATACCAGCCTCACATCGCCGTTAAATCCTAGGCCTTAGCTGACTTCATTGCTGACTTTACCCGGAATACCACCACCCAAGCAAAAAGTGAGTTGTTATGCATGAACGACGGATCACCCTCCAAGTGGACCCTCTTAGTGGACGGCTCGAGTAACGTAAATGGAAGCGGACTTGGAGTAGTACTGATTGTGCTAGAAGGAGACATCATCTAGTGGGCAATACGGTGTGGGTTCAAGTGCACGAACAACGAAGCCGAATATGAGGCCCTCATAGTTGGACTTTCCTTAGCCAAAGAAATTGGAGCAAAGAAACTAGAGGTGAAGTTTGATTCCCAGCTCGTGGTCAATCAACTGCAAGACACGTATCAAGCACGTGACTCGAAGATGACATCCTACTTGAGCATGGTCAAGGAGATGCAGGCCCAATTCGATGAGTTCTTCATCGTCCAAATCCCCAGAGCGGAGAACTCCCATGCTGATGCCCTTGCCAATCTCGGCTCGGCCCTCAAATGCTCTTCCCAGTCATCCATCCCTCTATTATTCATGCAGTGGCCTGCCAACTGGGAGGGACAACAACCAAACAAGCCGCCCGAGGAAGCCATGGGTGTTGAACTAGCCGACTGCTGGATGACTCCGATAGTGAGATACTTGGAACATGACGAACCCCCAGCTGACAAGAACAAGGCATGACGACTAAAAGCAAGAGCCGCCATATTCACCATACATGAGGGCCAACTCCTTAGAAAATCATTCTCGAGCCCCTACCTCAAGTGCACAAGCCTAGAGGAGGCCCAACGTGTCCTTGCTGAGTTACATGAAGGCGAATGTGGAAATCATGCTGGGGGACGCAGCCTTGCACACCGGGTGATCACTGCTAGATATTACTGGCTGACCATACGCACCGATTCGGCTGCTTATGTGAAGAAGTGCGACAGTTGTCAGAGGTTTGCTCATGTCTCACACTTCCCACCAGAGCGACTCCATTCCATCCTCACACTCTGGCCCTTTATGAAGTGGGGAATGGACATCATGGGAAAACTACCGACTGCACCCGGACAGCGAGTCTTCATGTTAGCTGTGACAGACTACTTTACCAAGTGGATTGAAGCCGAAGCCTTGGCACGAGTCAGAGACCGAGAGGTAAAAGCCTTCATCCGGAAGAATGTCATCTGCAGGTTCGGCATATCGAAGGAGATTGTCACCGACAATGGATCCCAGTTCATCAGTTCAGGCTTCAGGGATTTCTATGACATGTGGGAATAAAATTGAGCTTCTCAACCCCCCGCAAACCCCAGTTTAACGGTTAGGCCGAGTTGTCAAACAAGATCATCATTCAGACACTAAAGAAGCAGTTACAGAAAGCCAAGGGTGCATGGGTAGATGAGCTACCCGGAGTCCTCTGGTCATACCGAACCACGGCTTGCTCGTCAACGGGCGAGACCCCATTCTCCCTCACATACGGTTCTGAAGCAGTCATCCCAGTCGAAGTATCAATCTCGTCCACCAGGCTCCAATGGGCGGACAAGGAATCAAACGACCAAAACCTTTGCCAGAACCTAGACACCATCAACGAGCTACGCGAACGGGCGAGCATCCATAAAGAAGTCTATCAACAACAGGCCGCCCAACATTATAACTGCAACGTGAGGATCAGAACTTTCAAGATAGGCGACTGGGTCCTCCGTAGGGTCTTCCAAAACACCAAAGAGATCAACTCTGGCAAACTCGGTCCCACTTGGGAAGGCCCCTACAAGATAACCAAAAAAGCAGAGAATGGTGCTTACAAACTCCAGACCCCCGAGGGCAAAGACATCAGTAACAGTTGGAATGTCGTTCACCTCAAACACTACTACTTCTAGGTGAACTTATCTTTTTTCTGTTTTCCTTGTTTATTTTAAAAGGGATGAGTGGGCCTATCCACCTTATCTTAGACAGTCGGCCTCATGGCCAAATATTAATGAAGTATTATTCAGAAATTTTACATCTCCAAATCGACTCCGGTCGATTAATTATTGTTAACACCTTCAGACCGACCATGCCTGATCCACGAAATTGCACCTTTGAATCGACCCTGCTCGATTCACGATTACACCTTTAAATCGACCCTGTCCGATCTACGAATAACACCGTTGAATCGACCTAGCTCGATTCATGATAACACCTTCGAATTGACCCAGCTCAATTCACGAAAACACCTTCGAATCAACCCAGCTCAGTTCATGAAAACACCTTCGAATTGACCCCCTCGGTTCACAAAAACACCTTCGAATCGACCCCGTTCAGTTCACGAAAACACCTTCTAATCGACCTTGCTCGGTTCATGGAATCATCTTCGGTCGGCCCCACCCGATCCACGAAGGGACGCCATCAAATCGGCTTAACCCGACCTACGATTCACACCTTCGAGTTGGACCCGTCCGACCCAAGAATTCACATCTCCGGATTGACTTCATCCAATCCAAGAGACTTCGTACTCGGTCAGCCAAACCGAATGAATGGTTCTAACACCGACAATAAGCAAAACACCAACCTAGCCCAACATAAGGCTTACATGCCTTAGCCATTGGGTCACACTAAAGTAACAAACACAACTTGGTGCACCTACAAGTAAAGAAACAACAAACTCATTCATCCATAAAGAAAGTATCAGAACAACCAAGTATAATACAGATAGCCTCAAACGGCTCAGTTCAAAATACAAAGGAACGACACACGCCAAGAAAAAGGGCATCGCAGGCCCCAAAATACAAGAAAAAACTAAGCTAACTATCCTCAGTACGAGTCGCCTCCTCCATCTCTGACTCGGTCATCATGTCCGCACCGCTAGCACCCGTCCTAGCAGCCCAATCGCTCACATCCCCAATATCCGATAGCCCCGACTGACTAGCAAGGTCAGGCATCTGTTCCACATCCTGCCCCCCCCCCCGGATGACTGACTCCCTCTTCCAGCAACTCCTGCATGAGCTAGATGTCTTCGTCCGGATCCCAATGAGAAGTCTTGCCTTCCTTGAACTCAAGCATGAGTTCACCACGGGCCTTGATGATAGTATCATCAGTGATGGAAATACACTGCTCCCTAAGAGACTCATCTCTACGGTCTTCTCGGCCAACTCACGCCTCAACTGCTCCAACTCACGCTTGTTATCCCTCATACGCTGCTGAAACTCTTGCTCGGCCTTCCGGGCTGCTCCCTCTTTTTGGTGCAAGCTGGTGTTGGCCTTGGATACATCCTATATCCGTTTCTCCTGTGCCATGACAAACTTCCTCAGATGAAGACTACTAGTGAGTACTTGCACAACAAAACATTGCCATCAGAACGAAATTCTGGAACAAAATCATCGAATACTACTGTCATACCTGAATAGCGCGAGCTACACCCCAATCAGCGCCAGTAACTGCACCCATCTGGTTCAGACACGCCTCGTCCGTGGGGAACAAAAATGAGTCGGCTAGCTTACTCATGGTAGTCGCATCATAGTAAGTTGACGCATTAGCCAAAATCGTGATCGTAATCGTCCTGGCCTCCTCATCCATGACTGAGGTCTGAGACGACC